GTAGCAGGTGGAAGTGCAGTAACATTCACCTCACCTCACCTCACCTCACCTCACCTCACCTCACACGGACAGATTCTCCGACTGGACGCGACATTGCTTGATCTTGCAAGTTTTCTTGAATTCACTTCGGCGCAGTAGAAATACTACATTTTTTTTATGATCATTATTATTACACGAGTGTCCATTTTTGGTTTAGCCATATTGTTTTCCCATCGCGAATTTGGATAATTAAAGTGTAACCGACTGATTGATCGCTGTTTAATTATGCATGTCTGTTTGTCATATATGTCCACATGATTGATCGCTCAGAGATCTGATCAGTGGGAGGATTATCTATATCTTGTCGTGTTAGTTCTCTGATATTCCATTTTCTAAGTCAAACACTCAATTAAAAAAGGCCTGTTGGCATACAACGTCATTTATAGTAATTAAATCTCACCACCATGCAACAAAGTGTAGCAACTGAACGGTATAGCAGATTCAATATTGGTATAACGTTTATGCGCGTGGTATTTCACATTCCGACTGTGTGGTGAGTTAACTTGAATATAGGAAATACTTAACTTAGACCTAAAAACGTTTAGTGAGTGAGTTGGATGTAACGCCGCTTTTAGCAATATTCCAGCAATATCAAATCGGGTGACACCAGAAATGGGCTTCACCCATTGTACTCATGCGGGGAATCGAACCCGGGCCTTCGGCGTGACGAGCTAACGCTTTAACCACTAGGCTACCCCACCGCCCTAGTCCGAAAGATGTCAGCATCCCTGTTATCGCTTTAAAACTCAGTATATTTTCATTGGTAGTTAACAGTGATATACGCCGAAACGCTAAACACAGGGTTACAAAAGAACATATTCATTCACATGTACTGTGGCTAACGGTTTTCTGCTCAGTTTGTCGTTTACAAGCATCCCATTGTCATCATTTCAGAAATGAGAGTTTGTCTTCATAGTATGTATTCTCAACAACGAAATCTAAAACATCCCACTCAGAAAATAATCTGCAATATAAATAACAACAGTTGCCAATATAATCTCTATGACTTCAATACACTCTTCCCAGCGTGGTGATCCCGGACCCGTGAAGATCCGGGGTAGAATAGGTCTTCAGCAACCCATGTGCTTGCCATAAAAAAGGCGACTATCTTGTCGTAAGAGGCGACTAACGGGATCGGGTGGTCAGTTTCGCTGACTTGGTTGACACATGTCATCGGTTCCCAATTGCGCAGATCGATGCTCATGCTGTTGATGACTGGATTGTCTGGTCCAGACTCGATTATTTACAGACCGCCGCCATATAGCTGGAATATTGCTGAGTGCGGCGTAAAACTAAACTCACTCACTCACTCACTCGTGCAATAAAATCTTCAAAGCACAGTTGAGGGAACTTGGCCCCGACGTTTAAGTTACGCTTTAGGTATATCGATGATCTTACATCAAACAAACGTGGTCAACTTGCATTCTCTCGATTGGCCCACCTAAGCTTCACATTCAAAAGGATAGTGAAATTACCTGATCACTTTCATAATTAGTACTGTGCATAACGTTTTAGATTGATAAATATCAATTCAAAAGTCTGTTTAAAAAAAGACAACTTCATCTTTTCAATTGTCAACTTTCCGTTTCAGTCACGCAATATTCCTGCTTATTTACAATATTTCACAATAAGATGTACGCCCGTCAAATCAGGATTTCATAGAGTGTTATATGACACTTGCTCAAAAGAAGTTTAAGTTTAGAACATCCAAAGTCGAAACAGCTATCAAAAAAGGTTTGTTGTCGACAGGTGGACATTTCAAAATTTGACTCTTCAGTGACGATAATCATGATATCGGATGCAATGCCTTGGCTTGTATTATAGTGGACAGATGCCATCGGTCGGGGAGGATTCACCGAAATGTTTCCGAACACCTGGTGTCAGCCTGAAGGGTTTTGTCGTTTTTTAAGAGTCGAATTCTCTACAACAAAAGCAATTAGCTCTTTACCAGTTAGCATCACATGTTAGTGATTCCATCTCATGGTGACACCTCACATTATAAGGAGCTATCTGCCTGTCACTATCTATAATTACATAAACATATCAATTTTCATGCTGTATTTTACATCTGATATATCAGTTCTATTAGCGTAACAAGATAACATACTATTTGTAAAGTGATATAATGTTATTTCATTTTACGAATTTGCTTTATAAGAAGAATAAATACAGTATTTCATCCTCAGAAATACAATAAAGTCATATATACCTCGAACTTTTTTCAGTTTGAGTTTAAAATTGACTATAGCGTTATTGTACACCACCATTGTATACAATGCACTACACTTTGCTTGACATTGCCTGGAGAAACGACTACTTCTTGGTTGCTATTGGTCACCAGTTGGCATTTATCGCCATGAAGTACATTCGTCGCTAATCCTCAACAACATTCATCAGGAACAAAGCTCATATTTCTGTATCTTTCGCAATAGGTTTTGTCCACCGTCAGCTTTACATTACACTTCCACGTTCTCCTATTTGGCCATGAAGCAGCATCCGTATGATGTACACATCACGTTTTCCAGATGCCTTGGCTAAATAAGGATTCCAATTGCCGATCGCGACAACCAAAGAGCAATATGTTTTTCTTATGGACCATCGGATGCGTTTGACAAATGCAAGTCACGTCAGTATCATTGAAGTTTCTTTCATCGTCGTCTCCATCTACCGTATTGAAGGAAAGCCTATGTGTGTGTAGTTTATAGTGATAAATCGGAGATTAGACTTCCTAAGGGACATTTGGACTCCATATCCTAGATTGGACAGGGACCTCGGTTATCTTACATCAATCATTGCTTAAAAATTCAAAATGGGTCAAACTGTGGTTTTGATACAAATTAGTTATACACCGTTGCTTAAATATCTAAACATGCGTGTCATGTTGTATGATGTACGCCTAACATCCTCAGAAATAAACTGCGATATTTGCCAGAACCTTCATTATATTTCATTTGGATGTGGCAAGCCTGCTTGTTGTTGACATTAGATTATAAGAAAGTGTGCAGGCCGTGTGTACAATCTGAAATCATTTTTTCCCCATTCATGTTTCATCTCTAGATTGTAGTTTCATGGGATTACCCTTTGAAACGCTTGCAGTGACATCCGCTGTGGTATTGAATCTCTTTTCACTGCATCTATGGTTCACAATGTGATTCACAATCTGCACAACATTACTAATTGGGCTCTGCGATTGCGGAGTTGGGACTGGTTTTATGAAACGCAACTGTGAACCAAATATTTTTGGTTCCAAACAATTCTGAGTTTGAATCCCACAGGAGTTGCAGCAAGACATATTTAGAATGGAAACAATTACATCTCGCGCAAATACTAACGAAAACACGTGGGACGTTTAAAAGGACTATACACATTCCAAATCACCTTTCCATTTTCAGTTTTTGTACTTACGTTTTTAGAATTCGTGATGCCATTAATTCTCAGTAGTGATTGTGGAAATCAGATACTCCAGACAATTTACGACAGTTACTCTATAGATTCTTATCTCGCTGAACAGTTAATTTCAGTCGAATTGTCAGAAAACATCTTAACGATTAGTATTGTACGGTCGGTGTACTCATGTACAAATGTATTAATGTCAATGGTTCCTGCAATAGGTCTCTTGTATAGAACTAGACGTATTTGGGCATAGAGTCTCTTGTTAACATGACGTTATATGAATTAATCATGATTTGCGGTTAATCCAGACACTGCCAATCGCCTGAGGTGTCATCCGCTCAGATCACTTATCACTGAGTTTAGTTTTACGCCGCCTTTAGCAATATTCCAGCAATATGACGGCGGGGGACACCAGAAATGGGCTTCACACATTGTACCCTTGTGGGGAATCGAACTCGGATCTCCGGCGTGACGAGCGAATGCCGTAACCACTAGGCTACCCCAACCCCCTTCATCAACTCAGAGTTCTTGCTCTCTAATGAACCTTGAACACCGAGGAAAAAAAACAAATGAAGAACGTCGCATATTATTATTATGAGTATACCTTCTTCACGACATGTTTCTTTATATTCTATCTGCTATACATGTATATTTCTCTCATGTAATCTATTACGTTTATTATAGACATTTAGTTGAGCGTTTTCACACAAAACACAGCTGCAACTTCATACAATCAATTTTCTCAACTAAATTCATATCATGATAAACGCACATAAATCTTAGATTTCTTAAACTTTCGGGGGAGGGGAGGAGGGGGGAGGATGCCAGGTTCGATCCCTCACATGGATACAATTTGTGAAGTCCATTGCTGGTGTCCCCCGCCGTGATGTTGCTAGAGTATTGCTGAAAGAGGCGAAAAAATCTTATTCACTCACTCACTCCGAACCTTGGTGATCTTTTCCTATTTCTGTCTATACATCTGTGGCAGAAATAAACAAAGGAAAAGGGGTACGACCAGCAATCAAAGTCGCTACAATTGGCTGCGCACAGTTGTGTCCCTTGGATGAGCCGGAGCCTGTGATCGTGGGATTCCCTGTTTGGCCTGATTATATTTCTTCCTCACGTTGGGGGCGGTGGGGCAACCTAGTGCTTAAAGCGTTAGCTCGTCACGCCGAAGGCCCTGGTTCGATTCCACACATGCGTACGTATGAAGCCTATTTCTGGTGTCCCCCTCCGTGATATTGCTGGAATATTGCTAAAAGAGGCGTTAAACCAGACTCACTCACTCTTGTTCACGTTGGCATCATGCTCGTACTCGTGGGTTGCAGAAATAAGTACGACCAGCAACACTAGCGTTCATTCATGAAGATATCACGCTGATAATACTGAAATAATGTTCAAAGAGCCGTTAGACCTCATTCCCTCTCTCACAAGCTCACTCACTCACTCACAATTTCATTCATTCACACACAACCATTCATTCACTCACTCACTCAAACACCCATTCAATCACTCATCCGCTCACACCTTCGCTGATACTCATTCATTCCCTCCATCACTGTTCACAGATCCCCGGCGCAGGATGAAGGAGAGTTTGGTGTTCCTGGTGTTCGCTGTGGCGGGCTCCTGTGCGGGCATCTTCTGGACCAACAGTAAGGACAACGACTATCCCCGCATCGGCCGCCGCAGCTTCTACACCGCCAGCAGTGAAAACACATACCCCCGGATAGGTAGGAGCGGAGGGGTGGAGGACACGTTAAGGGATGGGATCGAGACACGGGGGTCATTCTTCACCCAGAGTGATGAAAATACCTTCCCTAGGATAGGCCGAGGAAACGACAACAGTGACGGAAACGACGTCAATAAAGTAGAAGCAAAACTCCAAATTGAAAAGGGATCTCCATACCCAAATAGTAATGAAGATACAAAGTCTCTGACAAAAGCTCAGACAGGGCTTGGAACAACGTTCAGTCTACCAGCTCCCATACTCTTCTTTGCCTGGGATGCTAATGGTATGTGGAAATGTTTGATGACTGAAGTGTAAAGGTTAGCAGAAAAACGTTGAAATGTCTTGTCATGCATTACACGTGCCTTTGGTGATATAATATTATGTTTTTGAAAGTTGTCATTGTACTGATGACTTGGTTTGATTTCCCACGAGTCTACTTGACTGTGCATTTCATCAAATGTTTGTATGGTTGCTGGCTTGTTTGTGGTTGGGGTGTAAGGGGTGTTGGTGGCGTCTCAGTAATATTGGCGCTGTATGTCTGACTTCTGTATGTATATCATCAAATATGGACAAGCTAGTAATTAACACCATGAGCACTGATCTACGCAATTGGGATTCGAACTCATGCCTCAAACGAGTCAGTAATCTTGACCACCCGATCCCGTTAGTTGCCTCTTAATACAAGCATGGGTTTGTAAAATACAATTCTTACCGATTCTTCGCGAATGATAAAACAAGCATTCCACCATGCTCTTAAAGAATGCTTGATCATTTTCGAATTCCATTTGATAACTCTCACGCTTATCTTCACAAAAATCATGTACGTTTGAATACATGGATCCATCTACATTCTAATGATAACAATGGCTTAAAACACTCGGTTCCAAATTCTAAGCAAAGAGGGTGTAAATTCTACAGTGAGAATACCTAAAATTATAAAAATGCAGATTTTTGGTACTAACAGTCTTCAAAGTATGTGTTGTAAGATGTTGTTGTCAAGGAAATGCGATACAAATTTACTTAAGAAAATGTTTTTCAAACATATCGTACATCAAAGAGCTTGAAATATATCTACTTCTGTTACTAACTGTTACGTCGAATTGTCCTGCTTTGAAATCGATAACTCATTCGAAACAATGAACTAAACCAATTCCGCTTCACTCAATATCTTCGCTAACCCTAGAGAAATTTGTAAAATTAAACAATTGAAACCCCACACGGCAGCTCTTACAATACAAATGTCAAACCTCCAAGAAAGTCTCCTTTGAAGTAGTTCACAGGAACAACTGTGGTAGTTGAAAGGTTTAATCGCGGACACTGTAGTGCATGTCGTTGAATGATGATAAGCTGTATCGTTTACCCAGGGGCAAGATGGTGTATGTCGTAGATGAAGATAAAATTGTGGCAGTTGTACTGTTTATTAGGGAGTAAGATGGTGTATGACGTAGATGAAGATAAAATTGTGGCAGTTGTACTGTTTATTAGGGAGTAAGATGGTGTATGTCGTAGATGGAGATAAAATTTTGGCAGTTGTACTGTTTATTAGTGAGTAAGATGGTGTATGTCGTAGATGAAGATAAAATTGTGGCAGTTGTAGGAGATAAAGTTGTGGCAGTTGTACTGTTTCCTCAGGGGTAAGATGGTGTGCGCAGTAGATGAAGATAACATTGTGGCACTTGTACTGTTTACTCGGGGGCATGATGGTGTATGTATTAGATGGAAATAAATTGTGATAGATGTACCGTTTCTACAGGGACATGGCGGTAAATCTACAATTAGAATAATGATCGCTTGAAGGTGTGTGTCTAAGGTGGAGACGTAATAGGGGCAGGAGCATGGTACAGTTCATCGTCGATATAAGTACAACCAGAAATTATTGAGAATTTAAGATTGTATTATTTTTTTTCACTCATTACTGACGTATTAAATGTGAATATTAGCAGAACATTACAACAGATTCAAAGACAGGTGAACAGTTAGTATTTTGTCAAGTCACCATGGGCAGCAATGCAGGCTTCAATGATGCGGGGCATACTACTGATCAAAGAAGTTAGAAAGTCGTGGTCCATGCTGTCCCAATATCGGACCACCTCTTCTTTCATTTCAGCAATATTTGTCAGATTTTTCTTATTGACACTTTCCTTCATACGTCCCCAAACATTTTCTATTGGATTTAGGTCAGGGCTATAGCTTGGCCAATTCTAATAATGTCATATTTTGGGTTCGAAACCAGGCCTGTGAATGCTTTGAACGATGTTTTGGGTCGTTGTCCTGCTGGAAAATCCAGAAATTTCTATAGAACACGTGAGCAGATGGAAGTAAATGTCCCTCGAGAATATCTGTGTACCGCTCACTGTTCATATTCCCTTCAAATACACAGAGGGGCGTTGCCCCTAACACAGATATGCCACCCCACACGTTAAATTTCGGACTGTACTTTGGGCGCTGATACAAAGGTTTTTCAGTTTGTTTGGTCCAGAATTTCAGTGTATTAGGAAACAGCCACACAGAACTTTCATCTGAGAAAATCACATTGTCCCAGTTAAAATTTCTATGCTGTAAGCACCAGTTCAACCTTCGCTCTTTTGTTCAGGTTTCATGATCGGTGATGGAATTCCTCGACTTTTCTGCCAACCCATTGCATGCAGCTCAGTTCTAATTGTCTCCTTACAGACAGCCACAGTTCCTCTATCAATCATATCCAGCCTTAAGTTTTCTAAACTCCTTCGTTTGTTTTTAGAAACAAGAATACCAAGCCGCCTCATGTCACCGACAGTCAATGTTCTGGGCCTACCTGCCATATCCATTTGCAATATTTTCAAAACACGATAAACAGTGCACAAGGGGATGCCTGTTCTACTTGAAATCACTTTAGCTGATCTGATGCCCTTGTTATAATACTCTAAAATCAACTTCCTCTTCTCTAAATCATCCATACTGAGGATCACTGAAAATGTCGTCTGCTATCAAGTAAACAAAGGGGGATAACTCTTCACAAACTAATGAAAAAGTATTAACGGAGATGTCTCTCTTGAATGAAACCAAGCACTTGATAGCTGGTCAAGGTCATTTATACTAGAAATCCAATTAAACATATTCCTAAAATTCTCAATAGTTTCTGGTCATACTATATATCGAACTGGAATTTGGGAATGGTGGTTCACGAAGTAAATTAGGACCGAATGATGTGATATGTCGTTGATAGCTTGATATGTCATACGTTCCCGTGTGTTTTTGTGTGTATACAGGACAACAATTGACCAGTCTTTGCATGTATTTGTGACGGGTCAAGATTCGCTCGCTAATTACACAGTATAGCGATTCGTAAACACATGCTCATATCATCGGAATCATTCAATCGACTATAGATTTAAAAGATATTTCTTATGGATTTGGAAAGGGTTTTGTCGCTTTTATTTTTGTTAATAAATTGCTGTTCACTTGAACACCATTAATCGTAATAAGAGTAATTATTGAAAGTAAATATGATAGCCAAAGTAGTAACAGGAGAGCCAGAAACATTGTAAAATCGAACGAACCTGCTGATTCTGAATAATAAATATAAACTCGCTTTGTTGAAAATTATTCTCCATCAATTGTCATTATGCTATATAAGGTAGGTTTATGATAAATCGCTAGGAATAATGACGAAGAAATCGTGGTTTATTCCTGGTCAACTCTGAAAAACGCTGTGATCGATCGATCGCATCCATAAGCATGCGATATATGGTAATTTTAACGGCAGAAGAGGTACAGTGGATAGTCATCAATCATCCATTTGGTAATTGTCGGGAACGGATTATATTCTGGGAGTCATCACTATCTAAATACGAGTAAATACCTTTTCGCTTGTAAACTGTATTAACTTAATGAAGAATACTCCTTTGTTTTTGGTTTTCTGGGTGTAATTTGGGGTGGGGTGGGGGGATTACTTTTGTCAGGGATCGTTCATGTTAATGGCTAGGGGGGTGGGGGGTGATGATTATTTTTATTGTGAAGCATGTACAAAGTGAATGACACACCCACACCCACACCCACACCCACACCCACACCCACACCCATAAAATGTATGTACAAATTAAGTGACCCCATCCCTGCATGCCATGTCCTCTTCCCATAATTTCTAAGGATAGTTTGAAACGTAAATTTATGCTTAAAATTGCTGAGTGTGTACAAAATGGTTGCCCCCCTAGCTCCCCAGATCAATATGGACAATATTGTTTCACATGAAGAAACAGACTGAATGTATATTGGCTTTCTATACTGAAGTCGAGGCGACCACGGAGAACGGAATTGCAGACAAGAATAGAATAATCTGCTCCAAAGACACCGTCAACTGATATCACAGACATCAGTGTCAGTACCTCTAATCATTTTGTCCTAATCATGAAATTCAAGATTATGACATTCAACGGAATTAGTGTAATGAATTATGTTAGTAATTATTTCTTTTTTTCCTTAGGGGATGACAGTTTATCACGTGATGAATTCGTCAACGGAATTGCTAACTCGAGGAAACGACGCCATCTTGTTTAGGTATTTCCTTATTTGGGCAACTACAGCAAGGACTGTGCGATGACCTCACGTGGTGACCTTACATTGAGCCGTGAACCAGATCCCACTGCAATTAGACGTTAGGAAACGAAGACGCCAGGACACAACAGCTGCTAAAGTCACACACAAACTCTCATATTCATACCGATTCAGATTTAACCTTCAATATCCTGAAAATGTAACAATTTATTTTTGTGTGTTTTAAATATCGCATCAAACAAAGTTCTGTATCTAATCATCAAAAAAGAACACGTGATTCTCACAAAGGATGATGTTTATATTTTCTTGAGAAAAGATATTAAACATTTTTTTCCAAACGTTCATTACTCGTCTTTCAATCGGAGAGCTGAACGCATCAATCATGAAATATTGTACAGGTGTAATTATTACAGCTGATGTCTATCACGATGGGTATTACACGAAACAAACCACATTAACCATCACTCAGCAACCTTCACCTTGTGACGGGGAGACGACGTTGATCCTACGTCACATTACGTCATTTCCTGTCACGTGATGCAATAAGAAGATTATTATATGCCAAAGCAAATCTTGGTATCTAGATTGGATCGGAAAACCTTGAACGTGGATTGATGGAGATTGATATACAGACTTGCTCTTGCTGTTTTTGTTGTTCCTTGGAGTTCACATATGATGTCATCGATCCGTGATGTTGCTGGGGTGTTGCTGAAGGTGATACGCACTCACTCACTCTACACACCTACTCATGCACTTACTTACCTTCACCCATTCATTCATTCACACGTTCATCCACTAATCAACAAGAGACTTCTTCATCTGTTTCATGAGCATCCGGTGTCTTCAGTGCTGCACTGCTTCACGAGAGGAGGTTCCTTATTGTATCAGTATGTACTATATCGACCCTGTAACAAAATGTAACACAAGCAATACTATACTATTTATTTCAGTAGTATTAAAACGGGCAGTATTGTTTCCTGAGACAGGATTGCATACACAGACACACACAGACAAACATACATACCCACACACTCACACATGCATATACATATACATACACACATCCATCCATCTATACATACATACATACATATACATGCATGCATATATACATACATGCATGCATGCATGCATACATACATACATACATACACACATGTATACATACATACACACACACACACACACACACATACATACATACATACATACATACATACATACATACATACATACATACATACATACATACATACATACATACATACATACATACATACGGTATGTGAAGGTATATGGATGTATCAACATCTGGCGCTAAACAGAGACATCCACGCACATATTATTGATAAAATATTGAATTCTACAATTGTTATAAAATCACTTCTTTGAGAGGCATTTTAGATGTTGTAAAGATGAAGAAAAAACAAGTTCTATGAATAGTCAACTTCTGCATTGCAATGAATGTGACGTTTCGGTGTAGTATCCGATGTTAGTATCTACACCAAGATGTCGCATTCATTGCAATATTGACTATCCATGGAACTCTGTTATAAAATCTATTGAAATCAATCAAGATGCAGGTTTAGTAATTACAATGTATAGTATTTCAAAACACCAAACCCTACTTTTATTGGTCGTGTGCCAAATTGGTCGTGAATGGGTCAAATACTCTCGGTTATAACACGGTGCGTCGGTTTAACACAACAGAACGTACACGGTTAAATATGGTAAAATGGAAGATGAAAAATACGGAACTGAAGTACCAAGAATATTTGCTGTGTCGATTTCGAATTCGATCAATCGAGAGGTGTAACCTTGTGATGGTACTCATGGCGGTACCGTCACTTCCGGTTCACACAATGACAAGGTAATACCGGAAGTTCGGTGGTACGATCCCCTGCAGCGCCATACGAAAACACGTTAAAAATGGTAATTGTTGTTACCCTGGAGGATGCTCGGTATTGAGGGGATTAGAAAGGAAGCCAGCATACTGTTAGACTAATGGTTAGTCTCTGAATATATATCATTTTGATAGTAACAAACAAGCCCGTTTAAATTGAAAAGGAGCCCCGGGGAGACCAGAGATTAAGACCTGAGGAAATCTAGACTTGCTTTATTTAGGGCTTTAGCACTCCAGAGAGGGCTTGGCAGTAGGGAACATAATGTGGTTCAGGGACTGTGAGACAGACTAGGATACTGTCAGCAGGTGTATCTATGTTAAAAAGCAGCATTGTATCTCACTGGACTGACGCAATAAAAGCGGCATTGGTCCCCACTAGCACCAGCAGATTGGCACGACCACTTGCACGCACGTGGAACAACAATGGCAACAATATTGAAAGCAACATAAAACCTTATTTCATCTCATCTATCAACTTTTCGGTGTCTGTGTCCAATCAAGATCCAGACGATCTAATTAGGGCCCAATGAAAACAGGGACATGTCTGGTATTTATTTGTGTAGCTCCATCACAGCGATTAACTTTGATTTGGAAACGAGAAACGTACTGTTTGAATCAACGCACCGAGCTGATCTAACCTAATTACTGACATTCCTGAAAGGGTTATAACAGTCGGGTGAAGACTTCAGTTGTGGAAGTGAGTGAGTGATTTGGTTTTATGCCTCTTTGGACAGAACTTCGGAATTCCGCCATATCACGATATGTCATGTCCTAGTACAAGGAGAGTCCGATCGGAGAGCGAAAGTATGCGGTGTGATCCTTAGCCTTGTCATACCAAACGACGTTAAAGCAGATACCCGTTACCCTGCCTGATACATGGCTTTTAGGAGATAACCAACGACAGGTCGGCCAATGGTACGATGTTGTAAGATGGCGAAATAGGTATAAAATGTCAGACCTGTATATTTGACTTGGGACCAATAAAAAATGTCAACGCCAGATAATTTCCAATTTCGGTTATCAGACTAAAGATATTTAATTCGACGTAGAAGGCAAAACTAGAAAATTGGATTTCTGACAATTAGTCATGTCATAAGGTGTTTGCGAAACGGGTAAGCATGCCGCGTTCTACTGGTGGTACCTGCCACTCATAACATGTGCAAACAGGCATGTTTGAATAGAGCGCTGTCATCATTGTAACTTTAATTGTCTTTCAACTAACGATATACTGGTAAACAAAATTAGTTTAACGTTTTTTGCATGGAGTACGCGTGAGTAAGCTTAATTTCATGCCGTTTGTAGCAATATTCCAGCAATATCACGGTGGGGACACCAGAAATGGGGTTCACACATTGTACCATTGTGGGGAATCGAACCTGGGCATTCGGCGTGACGAGCGAACGTTTTAATGACTAGGCTACACCACCGCCTCCGCGTATAATTAGTTTTTGTGATTCATAAAGACATGAACTGAGATTATCAAACACCCAGAATAGTGTAATGAACCCTGCGTTTGGATTTCTTATGATTGGCACTTTTAATAATCGCTTTTATTAATATAAAATAGTAACAAGAAACCTTAATCCTTACAACAGTTTTTATTATCATTAAAACAACAATAAAAAATATGCAGCAACATTACAGAATGTGAGATAAAATCTTAATTTTTCTTTACTGCCTCTGTGATGAAACTGTATTATGCAGCGCGTATCTTGAAAGCTGAAATATTGAATAGCTGGAAAAACGAACTAACACACCCCGGTGGGACTGTTACGTCCAAATACTTTGAAATAATACAACCCATAGTAATGACTATTTGCCAAATTAATTATCTTACACATTTACCAAGGAATCAACTGGAAATATATATAGAAAAGCTATTACCAAGACAATGCTCCTTTGTAGGCTATAACAAAAGGATGAGCTGACGGCAAAGCCGATGTACCCATACCTTAATAGCCGAACAATAGGACATCAATAGCAGAACAATAGTGGAATAATACCCGGATGAAAGAAAAACCAGAGGGATACAATTTGATAGATGACAGTGATGGGATATTGGTCTGTAGATTTATTTTCATGTGGAACACTTTACAACGACGATGCTAAAACACCACGACTTAATCCCACTTAAATATCTGATCCACGGCACCCCGGATTTGATCAATTGTAGCATTTCACTCATAGTCATAATGGAATATCGACATCCAGAGAGCAGCGTGTTTGAGCGACTATTAATGCTATAGAAATTAGACAATCTGGTTATGTGTGCAATCAATCAACGGCAACCGCTTACCTTTTATCACACGGTGTTGTGTTACTAAGCGATAGCGAAGTCATGATATATTGGTTTACCAGTAACTAACCTAATGCCCGGAGGGTGAAAAACCAGTCGACTTCACCTTTCAATTCGACAACTTCACGACCGAGCCGCTACTCAGAATGTCATCAAACAAGCGGTGATTTCAGTCATGTCACGTGACACTTCCGGTATTAGGGTCACGTGACAGGAGTAATGGCTCCCAGAAGAGCACTAGGACTAGTCATTATGCTGCTAAGAGAAGCAGACACTCTTTCTAGTGGCCAGAACACCGAACGCTAGATAGGAAAACAGTCGGAATTAATCCGAACCAATACAAGATCTTGCGTTAAACCAATTAAGTTCAGTCTATCGGGCCAAACCCTGCTTCATATTGTCAAAAGTTTTTCTTGGAGCTGGTGGCCATAAGTGCCATGGTTGTTTGAACAAAAAGTAATGTTCCTTCCTGTAGTTAAACTCCCTTTGATCTGTCACTGCAGCAAACAGTCTGGGTTTCAGCCTTTGTGAAAACGTTGCAATTTCATTTCAAATTATACGAAAAACAAATACAATTTCGTGCTAATCACTTTAGTTTTTGAGTACGTAAAATAAGGGGATTGCCAAAAAATCAATGTGCGCATGCGCTGCATTCAACGACCGAGGACGCCTTCATCTACGTTACAGTGTTTCGTCCATAAAGCTGGATGGATGAGTGAGTGAATGGGTTTTACTCCAATTTTATCATTGTTCTGCTGTGGTGTTCGGGTTGGGAAACTTAGACCGCGTTTCACTTACATTAGGCCATACGTGTTTGTTAATGTGTTTGTCATCGCCAGTATCCAATGAACCAATGTTTCATTAATTGTGTATCTTGCTTTAAATTTTTAAAAATCTTAAAACTTAGATCATGTGGCAATTGTTTTGAAATATTATGTATTAAGTAGGTTGAGTCGATTGGGTTCGAAAACAATTTTGTAATATGTGTAGATAAAGAAAAATCAAGTTGGCCTGGTTTTTTATAGTGAGTGAGTTTAGGTTTAAGCCGCACTCAGCAATATTCCAGGTATATGACAGCGGTCTGTAAATAATCGACTCTGGACAAGACAACCCAGTGATCAACAGCATAAACATCGATCTACG